GACAAGAGTTCAAAATGAGATCTCAATTGAATAATCAATGTGAAGAGCTTTTGAAGAGACACGTCAGCTATTGTCAAGGTTGCTGAGAGTTTGCTGGGGTTTGCTCTCACACACACACACACACACACACACACACACACACACACACACACGGTGCTTTTAATAATGATCAAATGGAAGTGAAACAAAGCAGAACATCCATTTCTAATTCATTTTTCATTGTGCTTTCTGGCAATGTTAAACCCAACGCACCAAAGGAAGTTGCGAGTTGATGTGTAAAAGCGTGCGATGTGGAATGTGTGATTGGAGCAACATCTTTCCGCCTCAGATCAATAGTCTACTTTTAAATTCTTTTCACCTTGATCCTAATCAGGCTTAGGTGGTGAAGCAGATTCACCGTATCCGGCGGCGACGTGCGCGGAGGCAGATTACAAAGCACTTTTTTTGAAATTTTAATGAGGTATTTACCTTATTATAATGGAGCGCTGTATAATTGATAGTGTACGACGAGAAGAAGAAAAATATCCTGAGAGCTTTACAAAGTATTCAAAATCCACTTTTGTGTCACCCGAATAGTTGTGTGCAACGATGGATGAAAGTGTTATCAATGTACTCACATTTAAGACGTTGGTTTTGGTCTATTTAAAAGAAATCCGGGTGACTCTTTGATGAGGGCAGCTAACTGGCTATTAGATATGTCGTTAATTTGTTTGCTTAACGCTCGCCACGCGTTGCTGTGACATCACTAATGTTTTGGAGGACACACAGCAGTGCAGCTGCAGCAGTTTTCTGCCCTGTGTGTGAATCATTGCTTATTTACGTTACAATGCTCTCCCGTATGCAGCAGCAGCAGGAGAAATCGCACTTTTGATACACAGCTGGTGTCAAAATGCTGACAACTGCAGAGCCCACGGGACAAATCACCTGGTAGCCCGTCACCTTTGTGATTACATTAAAATAAAAAAAAGGACTCCGGGGAATGCAACTTCCAAGTAGTTAATAAACATGCCAGCTTCCACACATTACGTTTTCCATCCGGGTGCTCATTCATTTTATTAAAAAACAAATGAAATAGTGCTAAATGAATGATGAATGACTGAATAAAAACCCTGTTACACTGTATCAACATCGGCAGAAAGGAGAAGTTTAAAGGCTAGAGGTGATTTGTGTCCACCACACCACTTTCAGACGTTAAAAAGGCGCAGTTAAGTGCTTGAGAATTCATATTCCAAAAAAAGAAAACATGTGTTAATTGTCCACTTTTGAAGCTCGATGTAGCACTGTAGTCATAGATTCACTTATTAATTAAATCATTAACTAATTAACTAATCGGTCAATATAAAGGGACAGAAGCGAGCAAACAGACCTCAGAAACACACACGTGTGGGAATGTGGAGCAGTTAGTTGTGGACTCATATTGCAGATGATCATGACTATAGATTGGACTGATTTGTTGAAGGGGATTATTTGCTGAAACAGAGAAACAGAGTGTTTTTACCAGTCAGCGGGAAAATTACTGAAAACTCACATACATTGAAACTGCATTGTGTATTATTTTCAAGACGATGAAGGAGACGAAGAGAGAAAAAGAAAGAAGAAAATAATAAGAGAAGCGTTTGAGCGGTGAAAATACCTAACTGGGCGTGGAGGAGTATGAAATAGAGAGAAGGACTGGTTTGTTAATGAACTGAGTGGCTCATTTCCAAGTCAAAAGCTTGGTATAAGAACAGTATTTGTTGGGTAATATAGACGAGTACAGTGAAGTAGACCAAAAGAAATGTATTTACATAAATAGACAAATGGCTGTCAACAGTCCCAACAGAAACCCTTAGAACATTCGTATGAGTGACCACGTTTTGTTGGCGCACATATTCTGTTTTTCGCTCGACGTGTGTATCGCATTTCAGAGCCGATGGTCGCTGGTCACAGGGGCTTCATCATTTGTTTGTGTATTCTCTGTTGTTGGATTTAAAATCTCCAGCAACCTTCAGGAAAAATAAAATAAAAAAGCTTTGACTCCTTTCACAAAACAATTAAAATCGCACTGACAGCATTTTTATTTCCTGCAAGAAGTTGCCAGAAAGGGAACTAGATACTGTCCATCAGCTTATCTGGCGATGCTCACTGACTACAACACGCATTTGACAAATGTGGCGTTTTCTATCTTTGTCACTAAAGCAAGAAAAAAAAAATAATAATAATAATTTCTAAATTATTCAGTGCAATTTGGTTGAATGTGAAATTCTGGACGACTGGATCCTTGCACACCGTCTCTGTTCGGCGCTGAGACAACAGAAGCTCGGTGCAACGGCGATGTTTGGCTTCAGCTTTGATGACGCAACACAGTGGTGAAATTGCGAGTAAGTTCACTCAGACCCTGAAATGAAATGTAAATGTTGCCTGTCTGCACGACTCCACATGCAGCAGCACAGTGTATTCTCTCCTTCCCCATCACGGGAGCCCTGGGTAAGACCGGGTCCTACAGCTTCAGGCCCGTCAACTGATCTGGAATCAGCCAGCGGGACAGGAGGGTGATCCCGCTCATTAAGGAAAGCCTTTATTGATTTCTCAATCTTTTACAAAAATCATTGCCACTGATGCTGATTCCTACAGGGGAAAGTTCCCACGTAATTAGAGAGAAGAGCTTAATCATTCATTCTGGCAGGATTCATCCCAACGACGCTTACGATTTAATTTTCGTAGCACAGAATGGAGATGTTATGTACACAGTCGCTGAACAAATACAAACGCATCACTGCCGTCTAACTACTATGAACAGTATCAAATGTTTCATTAAAAAGGATTTTGGAATATCATTTTGTTTTTGCCCCCAGAGATAAAGGTACCTTGCCATACTGAATGTTTGGGATTCTCTAGTCAAAGAAATAAAGTACTTTGACAAAGAAAGAGGCTTTGATCCACGACACCGCCTCACCTGGGGATGTGTTTTCCTCTTTGTTAATCTGAGCTGTAAAGAACACAAACTATTTATAAAGACTTCTTACATAAAACGTACATGAACTTTAAAGATGCCACATGAAAACCTCAGAGAGGACCTCACTTCTTCACTCGACTAAAGCTGACGCGGGATGAGCGCGTCGTCTTGCTGTTGTGTTTAAAGGCAAATCCAATTTCGACGCTCTGTTTTGGGCGATATAAGCGCTCTCATGCGCCGCATATCCCTGGAATTTCCCAAACTAAATTCGACAGGCCAAACCTGCACAACACAAACTTTACTAGTTTGATTCAATCTGCAGCAGTGCAGCAACACTAATGCTGGGAGACACAACAGGCGGAGAACAATGCTAATCGCGCCGCGCCCCGTCGACTGTGTTGTGAGCGGATCTGTAAAGGATGCATTCAGCCCCCGTTTCATATCCCATACCTCCTGAAGCCTCGTACGCTCTCACATATTCTAATACGTGAAATGTACAGAAACCGAATCGCTGCCTGTCGTTGAATTTAAAACAGCTTTTCAGTGGATTGTCAGATAGTGGTGAACGTGTATCCTGCTGTTCAAAAAGGCCGTGTGTGCTTTGTTAATTCTTTCAAACAGTCACTTTAAAGGCTTAAATAATAGTCATCATTAGCCGCAGAGTTTTATTGCTCCATTCTGGTCTCCAGGACACCGATGAAGGTCAACCTTAAACGTCTCTCTCTCTCTCTGAGCCGAAGACTCCCAGCTTAGCCACAGCTCTGGGAACCGGCTCACACAAAAGATTACCCCACAATGCTGCTGGCCTAGATAGACACAGCTAACGCACAATAGGGTGGCTGTGCATAATTTAAAGCACATCGTCTCCACACCCACAAGTCCAAAATCACGAGCGAGCTCGTCGGCCAAATGGAGCATTCTGAAACATCGCGGTCCACGGTGAAGATGGGGAGGCTTTCAAAATCAAAATCGATATTCGCCAAGACGAAGGTATGACTCAGAGTTGTGATGTGAAGCCTGCAGCAGCTGCAGGGTCGGCGAATGTGAGAACATGTGGCCTCGAGGAATCTGCCCTCATTTAAAGCAAACTATACCAAATACGTCCTCCTTCTGTAACACAACACGTTTTATTCTTCAAACCGCCTCTTCGCTTCAAAGCGCCGCGCCACAGTCCCTCGGAGGCAGCGTATTCTTAGGTGAGCGCATGTTAAGTTTGAGATTTCCTTTCTCGTTAGAAGAGTGGTTTTAATTTTAACGTCAACCCAAGCAACAACTGATAAGCCGCCTTAGCCCGGCGAGGGTGTTAAAGCCTCACTTGTGTCCCGGTTACATTCCTTTCTGAGCACACGCCTTTTCAAGAGAAATTAATCATAGTCTTTATCACTTGGGTAGTGTCATTTCCCAACGACAGAGTGAGAAATAGAAATGTGCTAATTGCACTGCAAGTGGTGCATTTGTGTGGGAAGGACAAGTTTAGCTCCTTAAGCTGCTTAGGAAATGCATTTCATAATTAAATTCGTCGACCGGTTGAATCGTGATATTACCTGAAAGGTTCTTGATAAGAAAGGGATGGAAAACTTCAGCTTTCACCGAAGTTGTCCATACGAGATCCTCTCACAAAATACTGAAAAGGTAAATCCGTGCATATATCAATCAGACAGGACCGGGGGGGCCATAATCCACTGAAGAGTTTACCATGACATGGATGTTTACTGCGTATCAATGCGTCATTGATGTAACCACAGCACACACGTATTTGTGGTAAAAGTCAAAGCCCTGCTGCTTGTCAGCAATTCCGTGAGAAAACGCAAAAGTTCTCTCCCTCCATGATGTCCAGCGGTGACCGGATTAATGCTGCCAATCAATGTGTGGCAGAAGAAGGAAGATTACCTTGCATTCCTGGGTGCATCGTTGTCCAATAAACATAATGAATTGAAGGTCTGCTGCTGATATGTACATGTCTGTACAGTGTTGTTATAAAACTCACTGTGTGGAATTAGAATTGACCACAAAAGGGTATTGATTGAAGCATTCAACGTGAACGAGAAGACTTAAAACGTTTTACCTGCTTTCCAAGAGAAATGATGGTCCTTTGGAAACACAATGTCTGACTGGAGTGAGATGGAAAAGAGAGACAAGAGGACGAAGAGGCTGAGGGAGCTCCCAGCTTTCCGCGTCCAGGCAATGAACCCAAAGTCATCTTTTAGAGTCATAGTCCAGCCCATTGCTTCCTCTCTTACTCCTGTGGGAAGAACACGGAATTCATCAGTAGGTCACCCACACAAATGGTGTGTGAGCGCTTTAAAATGGGGAAAAAATGTGAAGGAGGTGTTGGATATTCTGAGGTCTCCGGCTTGAAATAACCCAGAAATGGACTTTCAGTTTCATTTTCAGAGGGCACTATAAAATGGGGCTATAAAATGCTAAAAATGCACTAACTCCGCCTTCGCAATAGCAGCGCATACTCCTTCATGCCTTCCGAGTTGACCTTTTACAATAAAAGTTTTTGACATAGTCTACGCTGCCTCATTGTCTACCGGGTAGAACCTGGATGTTTATCCTCAATGAAATAGCTTAAAATCCAGGTCAGTATCTATTATGGAGGAACCAACAAGCAAAAGGTGATCTGGGACGATTTAGTTGTCCAGAATGTTTTTGTTATTTTGTTTATGAGCTCATATTATAGTGCTATATAAATGGTCTCCCTTTTTAGTGGATAGAGACTAAGGAGTGAGTGAACGGTTCCGGGCAGAACCAGGGGTGTTATGCAGCATACGGGTGGTGCCATACAGGCCTTTTCCTCCCACATAAACCAAACATAATTAGTCAGAAATGCACGACAATCGCAGCCTCCCAAGGTAGAAGTGGACAAATGTATTGAAGGAAGGGGAGGCAAAGCCGGGAGTAATATGGGGTATTAGTACCTTTTTAATGCAGCTCATTTATTCCTATCTACTGCTACTGGGATTCATGTCCTAGGAGGGTTTGGGATTATTCCTGGATTCACTAGGCCACGAATTGTGTTGTATGAAAGCCCTGAATGGCGACAGAGAAGCAAATAAACAAATCTGGTGATTCATATTTTCAGTTTGATCCAAACCGTTTTCCCTGTCGTGCCCCTGGTTTAAGAGCATGTGGAAAACGAGGGTTTGCCAGAATCATCTTGAAGAATCTCTCATTGTTTTTTTTCACAGGTGGGAAGAAACATTTGCCAAATATTCAAATGTTTTGTCAGGATATTCTTTACGGTATATTTGTTGTGTTTTAGCGAGTTTGCTGCTGTTTTTAAAATAATATTAGCAATTTTGGTATTTTTCTAATCAAACGTTTTTCCTGAATGTGATTATAAAGTTTAGCATCTGTTTTCAGTTTCATGTTTCAGATCACTGCAACAACCTGGCTGTACAATTCCCTTCATAATACGTATCACAGAGTGTATCTGATGGTAGATTAACTACTGAGAGGTGGCAGGCACGTTAGATTCCAGATTATTTACACATGGTGGGTCTGTGAAAATGCTGGATGCTTGATTATTTCTTGCTTGATTTCATTGAGGGAAATTAGATTTGGAATTTCCTGCTTAAGCTGGGTTTTGGTCGGGGCAAAATGTTTTTAATGGAAAATAATTGCTGGGTGGTGATGGCTTGGAGCCCAGAAATGGGCTGCCAGATGCTCCGTTTTTGATGGACTATCCAATTTTATTCCGGGTTTGATGTGTTATTCTACAGTCAAAAGTGTGGCCATTTCTTTGTTTCAAAGGGGCTTTTAAAGTTGACATGTGTAAGAAAATATGGCCTTGATTTACATTTCAAAACATTCTCACAAAAGGAACTTAAATCATCAACCTAATGTAATACATTATATATATATATATGTGCAAGTGCTGGTAGTGTATACTGTGTTTATATTACCCAGATATAGTAGAACCTGTATGCATGTACTGTATACCTCGGCCAGCCGATCGTATCGAGTCTCCTGTGACCCTCAACGGGATGAGCGGTTAAATATAGTGAATGGATGGATATTTACTATATATATTATATATAGATTTAGAAATGTGTACCTCTGCTCTTTGATGGCCATAGGTTACACAACTGTCGACTGAGTATTGAGGTTGACCCAGTTAGTTGAGTTCAAACATCGCGTCTAAGTTCTTTGGCCTTTCGGCAGACTTTATCTCAACTTGGAATTCAATTTACCCAAAGAATAGTTTCTGGGTTGCTTGTTCTCTCCACTTTAAATATAATGAATCCAACCGTTTCTCTTGTTTTATTAAAGAAGCTTTCGCCTCACATGTTGGGATGACCAGAGAATATGTTCTGTCTGGATGAATGAGCAGTTGTCTGGCACTTACACAGCCGCGTGCCTATTAGAAGCCTGTGTTGCTGATTACCAGCCAGCCTCTTGGGCTGCACTGCTCTGGAAGACGCACCTGACTGCACCCGGACTCTGTCCTCCCTGCAGCCGTTCTAATTCCACTATTCATGGGACAAGCAGCACTCTGCATAGGCCGGAGCAATGTGTCGCAACTGATTGGGAAACACGGTCATGGAACAAAAAACAAGCAGTGGGAACAAGCGTGATATCAAGGCCGCCGGCTATTGTTTTTCAAAGAAAAGACATTGGAGATTATCAAAGGGTTACATATTACAAAATCTTCAATTTCCCTCCAATTGAATGACCTTGTGGCAATCGTATTCATACAGCTTAGACTCGTCTTTGGGACTGGGAATACAGGCTATCTGGAAAATTAAAAAAAAGAAGCGTCAGCTGCTAAATATCTGGGTCAAAGGAACCTTGCCAGGCTCTCCGTGGTCACAGGAAACCTTGCAACGGCAGTGTGGCCCGGATGCTGCTGTGCATGCTAGCAGATACTCCGTGATCTGATGGAATGCAATCTGCCTCTCTGTCTCTTGTGGTCCTTGTTTGGGACTCACTTGCCGGATTCATGGAGTAAGCACCCTGCAGCTGCCATGAGGGAACAGATGAAGAACACTTCACAGCCCTCTCTTTCACAGGTGGTCACAATAATTAATGTTTGATTAGATCTTTCCGAATGAATGGCACGAGCTCATTTTCCATGCCAGGGCTCTGAACAATCACCATGTGATCCGGCAGCCTCTTTTTAAATAAAGCCAAACGGCCAGTTCTGCCCAGAGTGGAAACAAAAGGCGTTTGAACCCATTATGTTCTCCAGAGATGCCAAACTCTTCCCGAGTTCTCTACATGCTCCTGCAGCCAACCAGCTCATTCTCTATACACCCTTTGCTTAAATCTCCTGCCCATGTACCTGTGCTCCTCTCGTCTGTGTGCTGCATCCAGCATGCTCCATTTAGTTAAACACTGTTGTTTTTTTGCATGTAAACGGTTTTGATAGGGTTTGGGAATTTTCACCTCAAAAAGCAGCAGATGTTGCAGGTGTTTTCATTGAAAGCAATGACCATGAAAGCACTGAAACAATCCCTCTGACAGTTAATATTATTCTATTCAGAACTGTAACTCTTGCATTTTGTTGGCAGAACAAACAATGACAGCTCTGAGACAAACTGCATACTTGCCGTTCCAAAAAAGGTTCGTCCAAACTGGCACGGCTGATTGGACAGGAGCCGAAAACCAGCGTACAGCCCAGTATCTCAGGAATTACATCCATCTTGGGCGAATGTGCACCTCACAATTTACCACCAATGCAGATGATCACTGCCAGAGCTGGAAGCAGTTTGCCCACCACATAGCGAAGCAAATTGTAAGGTATTTGTGGGCCAATTGCAGGTTTTTCACAGTTCCACCTTACTTGTGATGCACAGCTACAGTAGAAGGATTGTTTTTTTAAACGGACATGAAGAAAACCACGCCTGTCATGTCAGTCCTACCATGTAATCCAGGGCTTTGAAGACTTGTGGAAGGTTGTTGTCCGAGGACGCGGCTAAATGCCTTCCGTTTCAGTCAACAAATAAAAGGATTCTCAAGCATTTTTCTTTTTTTTTTAACTTATCCTCAGCTTCACTTTATAAACCATTTTTGGTTAAGCCTTTACCTATTCAGGGTAGTCTCACAGAGCAAGGTCTCTTTTGCAAGAACATTCAGATCACATCTGCACAGTTTTACTGATTTGCACGCAGAAGCTTCCCAGTTCGACGAGTTTGCCTCTGCCGACAACTGCCGTTGGACACAGTTGCGGCCCCCGTGTACTCGAGTCCGAGTCACTCTGATCTGCGTTAACATGGCAGGCCGATCACCTCAAGTTAATCCGGTGAGGATTTCCAAACTCGGGCCGTTTAAACAGAACCGAGCATCACCGCAGTCTGTGGCGGCGCTGCAGAGCAGCGAATCCCTCAGAAGCGGATTCACCAACATGTTCACCGAAATACGGTGAATTCTTTGCAATTTGTTCTCACTGTTATTTTTTGCTGCGTCTTGTCCAATTTTTTTAGTAGATTGCACATGAGAATGAATAAGTTTGATCCAAATAGGGGTAACAACTGATAGAGATGGTACGTTACCAAATGCAAGATTAACATTGGAGCCAAAGTTCAAGTGGCTGAATCACCCTCTGATAAAGATATATTATGATCATTAGTGTTTACCAATCAGAAGCAGAAGCAGTTACGGTTTCCATTGACAAAATGAACAATGGTTGGTACAGAACGCTGGTGAATGAATACCTGACCCTTAAAATGAAACAGAAATTACTACATTTTCGTTAAAGCTGCCAAACTGCAATTATACGTAAATACATGATATATAATTACGCCATGATTTGCAATTACCTGAGCGAGCTGACTGCCAGTCATCCCTTTAGGCGATCCGCTTGGTGCAGTGGAGGATATTTTTCACGAGTTCTTCCACAGAAGACGGGAGCAGGGCAAGAGGAGGCCTCCAAAGATGTTAAGTCTGACAGGGACAGTAAATCAGCCGTGCCAGACCTTACGCCTGAAGCATCATGCAGTGGCTTAATCCTGTGTGAATCAGTGTGCAGAGGGCTGGGACTGTGTCACACCTCCAGTAGCACTGAGTGGTATTAACTCCCTGGCACCGGCTCTGTCAAGTACCCTGCACCCACTGATGTTCCCACAGAGGTTGGCACAAGAGTCAGCCTATAGGGTCTGAGGTGGGGGTAGGGGGGAGGGAGGAAAAAAAAATAAGAGACTGATATAAATACCTGATAGCAAAACACAGTACAATCAGACACCTCATACATCGACATTCTTAAGATTATATTTCTTTCACATGATGCATTGCAGCTATTTTTGCGTCGCAGAGGTGTGCCAAAGATAGAGACTCCTGTTCCGTCTTATCTCAGCAGAGAAATCTCAGAGAGTTTCTGTGCATATAAAAAAAGGATTACTATGTGTCCCAAATTTAGATTTTCTGCAGCTGCAGGGGAGTGGGGGGGGGGCGGGGGGGCAACGTCACTTATGCATCGTATTAGCAAAAGCGTGGCTGTTGGTTCTGAATTATACATTAAACTGCAAGGCTTACAGTCGTGATTTAGTCACTGGCGTTGTCACATTCTGACAGCAAAGACAAGAGTGCAATCCAAGAGAAACAGCTTGGGGTTTTGCTCTCCTATAACATTCAATGATTGCACAGCCTACGTCCAGCCAAGCCGATTCCGAGGACTTATCCACAGGAAACGTGGATTCCATTAACACCTCCTGCCCTCTTCTCCCATCCACCTCCACCACTGGCCCCTCCTCCAAGACTCGTTCCCTCATTGACCTTCCTAGACACGTTCCTGAAACAACCCTCCCCCCCAGACCCTCCCTGACCCGGACCTTATTTCCCAAGGCCTTTAAGTGCTCTGCCTGGCCATTCCACTGTGGCTCAAATGAGGTTGTGTATGTAGCCGCACTTCTCCTCCCCTGGGTGGCTGCTAACTAAATAAAAGCCAACAAACAGAGCTCCTGGTGGGTGGAGCAAAAATCAATTGTGAACATGCAGTTCCAACTAGGGACACAAGCAATTCATTTAATCTTTATTTCAATCTACACCTGAGACTTCTATTACAGTCAATGAGTGTGTGTGTGTGTGTGTGTGTGTGTGTGTGTGTGTGTATGTGTATGTGTGTGTGTGTGTGCGCTACCTCCTACTGTTTTCTCACCTCTCGTGGATTTCTTTTTCAATTATCATTGAACCACATCGACATTGTATTGTCATACGCCTGTAAAATAGACACTTTTTTGTCTTTTCAGCCTGAAATCAACATCTAATTAAAACTTTATTTAGCTTTATTTGCACAGTTTACATGACAACATTCAACCAAGAGAAAAGCAACAGTTCAGAAAGGGAAAACAAATATGTGTTTCATCGCTCGTCATCGCTTTTATACCGGAGTCGTCGTGGCGCAGGGGGTAGAGCGAGTGCGCTGGGAACCACAAGGTTGGTGGTTTGAGTCCCGGCTGCCCCATGTCTCAAGTCAAAGTGTCCCTGAGCAAGATACCTAACGCCTAATTGCTCCCCGGGCAAAATGTAAAAAAAAAAAAAGCCATCGGTTTAAAGTGTAATGTAAGTCGCTTTGGCTAAAAGCGTCTGCTAAATGACCTGTAATGTAATGAAATATCATTGAGCAAAGACTAAGGAGACAACTGGACATTTGTTCTGCATGGACAAAAAGGTACAAATGTATTGAATCCAATGAGACTGATGGCTGTAATAAAAGACAAAGGTGGCTCTATGTAGTGGTGTGAGAGTAACAATCACTTTTCCATCCTTCTATTCTATTTCTTGATAATTGTTTTCCCTTTCTGAACTGTTGCTTTTTTCTTTGTTGAATGTTGTCATGTAAACTGTGTAAATAAAGCTAAATAAAGTTTTAATTAGGTGTTGATTTCAGGCTGAAAGACAAAAAAGTGTCTATTTTACAGGCGTGTGACAATTATATAGAGAAAAATATGAACAACATAGAATATTCTAACATACTTTTGTAAGAACATTCTGCACATGTGGGTGGATGCTGCGCTTCGCCATCTCCTGCCAATCACCATCTGTCAAATGATTTCTTACTTGCATTCTCTGAGTTCATTGTTGTGAGCCCCCATGAACTCCATCTGAATGTCTCCAAACATACACAAGTCTTCGCGTCTAATCTTGGGAATATCCACTGACTGAAACCTTTTTAAAAACAAGCCGTGCATCAGCAGACAAATGTCAAACTCTACGTCGGTGCCTCGCCAAGAATCTCCTCACTGAAACAAACCGTATATTCAATGCAATCCCTCCAGGAAAGCAACGTCTGAATGGTGAATGCGGCCGGCGCTGACAGGGGAAGAGGTATCTCTGCCACCTCAAAGAGTCCGGCGCTCCGGCCGCTCCTGAAGCCGGGGGTCGTGACCTCAATCAGCTGCATGTTTATCGCTGTGGCACGGAACATGCTACGGCTCTTCCTGCCTGTAAGTTCAGTAGTTAAGCAAGCGGACCGGGTCACCGCACCGATAAGGGCATGAGAGAATTTTAACTGGGCCGTGCTACACAGCCTCGCCGTAAAGATCAGTTAACGGATACCATTCAACAACTCCAGAGTAGCTTTTTTTCACAAAAATGGGGTTTGAGTTCGGTTTAAAGTATTTTTAAGCCCTATATTGTAATGCTTTTTATTTGGGAAATGATTATTTTTTGGAAATTGAGTCGTTGTATTAGCCGTCCTGAAAGCACGTGCGTCTGTGCACCATCGGTGATTCATTACAAAGCCAATATGATCAGACAGGATAAATCTTAAAACGGCAAATATCTGGCCCCACAATGTTTAAATATGGATAAGCTTCAGCGAATCTCTTAATCAAATTAGTTTCGTCAAATACTATTACCGAGAGGAAATCAGTGATTCACTTCACCTAAGTGTATTTTTAATTTGATGCGAAATTCCCAAATCGTCTCCTTTTCTGTATTTCTTGGTGAGTGATTAAGATCCAGTGAAAGAAAACCAGAAACCAGGCAAAGCTCGGACACACAGCGGCGTCCACACTGTGCTGCTCAACCCTTTAACATGTAATATCTGGCTCAGAAATAACAGAACTATGCATAAGAGGTGCTCTAATGTGAAAGGCCTTTAGGGTCAAATAAAGCTTAATGACTTGACTAAAACAAAGCCATTGCTATTTTTTTATATTTTTTTCACATTCACAAATATATCATCTGACATGGCAGAACAATAGCAGAAATCCCACAAAACGATAAGCATTTGTTCTGTTAATTGATGTGAACATGATCAACGAGATTAAGGCACAGATCTCAGCGGGGGAAAAAAGCGGGAATGGCGGAGAAATGTATTTTGGGACATCTCTCATCTAAGGTTAATTGTTAATTTTTCAGGTAATTCATCTTTGGTGAAAATAAAAGGAACCCCTTGAGAAGCTTTCACAGCATGTGCAGAAACAGAGCAAAAAAAGGATTTGGAGCAGAGACAGACACCAAAGAAAAATGTCTCTGGTCTCTGCAGCGGGAGCCTGGAAATTATTCCACAACAACAATCACGGAATGAGGAAGAAGGAGAGCTTGAAAGAGGAACAAACAGTTCCTGGTTAATCGGATTTGTCTTGTGTGGTTGTTCCACCTGGCCTCCACTTCTCTACCTCCCATTCGTTAAAAAAAAAAAAAAAAGCAGCGTATAATTAACGCCGCGCTGGCTGTAATCCTGGTCACTCTGTCTTCCCTTTTTAAATTGATAGGAGTGTCTCGGGGGACACCGGGGTGAGCGTGTCGGAGTCTTGACTGCTGAGGGAATAGAGGGGATTGCCGCCCAAAGAGGGCGGCGTCATGTGAGCAAAGGGTTGGCGAGATGGCATCAGGAATAATTTTGAGGGGGCCCCCGGTTGCTGAGGCGGCCTGATAACACGGGTCAGCGGCTGCAGGACCCCCGAAGCCTAGAGTGTTTCTCTGGAAAATAAGAAAATGTGTTTCTATTTACCCAGAGTGTGGTGTGTGTCTGCATGGGGAGGGGGTGGGCTACTTGACTAGTCTTTAGAAGTGGTCCAGAAATAGCTGAAACCTCCCAAAAGACTCAAATAGATGGGAAAATGTGGAGGGGAGGAAACCAATGGTTAAATGAATAGTTTGTGTCATAAGCAGTCACGCTGTGAAGTCTTCACCTGAAGAACCAGAATTCCAGTATTTTTGAGAAAGAGGTTGCCCGTGTTTGAAGAAGGTATCCTAGACGGTGTAGCTGCTGTTCAACATTACACCAATAATTAGCAACACACCTTTGTGGGTTTTATTTGCTCAAACCACAATAGTATGCAGCGTGCCGCAGTCTGACAATAACAGTAAAAAGAAAAACGACTGTATGACTCAATTCCCCTAAGCCACTTCAAACAGGGCTTTGCATAATCAATGTGTGCATTTTAGTCGGAACGCGGAATGTTTAGATCAAGGCACGTCAAGGAACCGTTAGAGCGTCTGTCAAGTCCTTACCAGGTCAACCAGCAGAAGACATGGCACAGAAAGTCAATGAGTGCTGAAGGTAAGACAAGCTCAGATTGAAAGTCAGCGCTTTTCTTTATGCACCAAGGCCTTTTTTTTTTTTATGCGATCAAAAACATTATTATTGTCTCATGCAGTCTCTCGGCTCTAAATGTCAGAACATTATGTTCACTTTATTCAGTGACCTTTACGGACCCATCAACACTGCGAGCGGCACTAATAAGCCACACAGGCACAGCTATGTTTCTGTCTCATACTGCGCTATCTACATACTGCAAACAATGAACCAATTGCTAGGCAATGACCTATTGTTTATTAATGTGCTGAAAGACAACACACGTGTGTGTGTGTGTGTGTGTGTGTGTGTGTCGTTGTCAATCTGAAACTGTGTGGGGCATTAGAAGAGCGAAGGCACACGTCTTATTTCGAATGAAAAGACAGTTGCTACAAGGCGACATTCACGATGATTCATTTCTTTGGTTTTATCGAAATAAAATGAACATTGACAGAAGCTATATGGGCAACTACCAAAATGTTGTTTTGATTTTTTCAGCTATCATACGACACAAATACGTGCTAATGGCACAGACGGCTAACACACACACAAATATATATATAAAGCACCTTCAGAAGTCTCTCCCTGACCGTTGTCGGTCTGAGCTCCACCGCGTCAGAACCCAAAGTTCAC